ATATATATGTACATATATATATATATATATATATATATATATATATACAAATATATATATACATATATATATATATATATATATATATATATATATATATATATATATATATATATATATATTATATAATATATAATATATTATATAAATATAATTATATATATATATATATATATATATATATAATATTACATATATATATTGTATATGTATATGTATATGTATATATATATATATACATATATACATATGTATATATATACATACATACATATATATATATAATATAATATATTAATATATATATATATATTAGGTCCAGTAAAGATATTAAATGGTTGTTTACCTTCTATGGATATTAATATTTCTCGTGACAATAATTGCTTTACTAAATCTGTGTACAGAAAACTAACTAACACAGGCCTCACTACAATATTCAGTTTGTACATTCCCATTAAGTATAAAAGTATCTTAGTTTCAATTTTCATATATAGAGCCTTTAAGATATATATATTTGAATGATCACATTTCCCACCAAGAGGTTGAATTTATCATCAACATCCTTAAACTGAATTACTTCCCTCTAAATTTCATTTTTAATATAATAAGGAAAACTGTTAATAAATTAGTTTCATCAGAGTCTACCCTCCTAGCTATCCCAAAGGATATAATATGCATGAAATTGCCATATTTGGGTTCATTAACTCAGTCTTGGAAGAAAATTATGTAGGATTGTCCATAATAATTACAGTACTGTAAAATTGAAAATTGTATACACAAGTTCCACAAATATTGGTATTTTTTTCAAATTTAAAGACAGAATTCCCACTCTATGCTCTTCTTTTGTATACAAGTTCTTGTGTGATATCTGTAATGCTATCTATGTGGGTAAAACAACCCACAAGCTGTTATGCGCATGGAAGAGCATAAAGGCTTCTCATACAGAAATAAGAACTTAAAACTCTCAAACCCTACAAAGTCTTCAGTCAGGCATCACTCCTTGAAAGAAAATCAACCTTTCTCTTATAAGAACGTTGATATTCTTGACTCGTCCCAATATGATTTGGACCTTAACATTTTGGAAAGCCTTTGGATCTGGAAATTAAAACCAACCTTAAATGAGTATGTCTCCTCCATTGATATCAAAATTTTAAAATAGACCCACCCAGAATTGTCCACTCAAGTTTACCTTTTCTGACATTTTGTGCTGGCTTGAGCGTTCTGTCACTTGCCGCACAAGGCGTTTCTTCCTTCATGGGGTTTAAAGGTGGAACATTACTGACCAGCTCTCTCAGTAGTTTTTTTTAAATAATTATGGTTAGTATTTTGTCTTATTGTTACCAATATATTAATTAACATTAACAATATATTAATTGACATTAACATTAACAATATATTAATTATCATTAACATTAACAATATATTAATTAACATTCAAGTTTTATATATATTATTTTGCCATGTGTGTCCTGATGACACCAGGGGCTTTGATCGTAATTTCGTCCCAATTTAGCTCAAGTCTTTCTCCATTAAATGTCATGTCATTGCAAAAGTTCCTTATAATATGTTTCAATTGCAACAATTTATTGCATGTCAATAGTGTGTTATTTTGATTTGAATGATATGAATTTCTTGACTTATATCTTTGTCATAATTTACTCGATGTCTTAACTTGATAGCCTAGTAATTTTCTTGAATACCAAAGATTCCCTAGAATATGTTTCAGTTGTAATGATCTATTGCAATTCAATAATGTGTTATATTAATATTGATATTTACAATTTCTTGACTTCCGTGTTTTTTGTTGTTTTTTGTTTTATTTACATGATAGCTTTCTTTCATAGTCAATTTTTTTTTTTTTTTTTTTTTAATACTAAATCACTTTTCCAATTCATTTAGAGCATAGTTCTCATGATATGTTTAATATTGTTGATTAATTCGAGGTCAAATATGAACTTTTTAACTTCTTTGTATTAATCTATACAATAACTTTTCATAAACCCTTACATTTTATTATCTCGATATATAGTGTAAAGTCTTGATACTAGTGATTCGTATCTCCTTTCATGTTTTTTATAAATACTATTAATGATATAATGTATCTTAACTGTTTTGTAAATATGTTATTGTAAACTGAAGGATAATATTCCCTATATCCTTTACAGTTGTTTTCTTGTCATCTCTGAAGATGGGTGTTGAACACTTGAAACATATGATTTTGACTTTTGAAGAATAGCTTTTGTTCAATGAAGATACCAGTTTTTTTGGATTAAACACTGGTCGTGAAGTTCATATACATGCAAATAAATACATGCAAATAAATGCAAGCAAATAAAATACATGCAAATAAAATACATGCAAATAAATACATGCAAATAATGCATGCAAATAAAATACATGCAAATAAATACATGCAAATAAATGCAAGCAAATAAAATACATGCAAATAAAATACATGCAAATAAATACATGCAAATAAATACATGCAAATAAATAACATGCAAATAAATACATGCACAAATAAAATACATGCAAACATGCAAATAAATACATGCAAATAAATACATGCAAATAAATGCAAGCAAATAAAATACATGCAAATAAATAATGCAAATAAAATACATGCAAATAAATACATGCAAATAAATAATGCAAATAAAATAACAATAAATAAAAATAACATGCAAATAAAATGCAGCAAATAAAATACATGCAAATAAATACATGCAAACAATGCAAATAAATACATGCACAGCAAATAAAATACATGCAAAATAAATAAATAATGCAAATAAAATACATGCAAATAAATACATGCAAATAAATAATGCAAATAAATAATGCAAATAAATACATGCAAATAAATACATACAAATAAATACATGCAAATAAAATACATGCAAATAAATAAGCAAATAAAATACATGCAAATAAATACATGCAAATAAATACATGCAAATAAATACATGCAAATAAATACATGCAAATAAATACATGCAAATAAAATACATGCAAATAAATACATGCAAATAAAAATGCAATAAATGCAAGCAAATAAAATACATGCAAATAAATACATGCAAATAAATAATGCAAATAAAATACATGCAAATAAATACATGCAAATAAATGCAAGCAAATAAAATACATGCAAATAAATAATGCAAATAAATACATGCAAATAAATGCAAGCAAATAAAATACATGCAAATAAATAATGCAAATAAAATACAAGCAAGTAAAATACATGCAAATAAAATATATGCAAATAAATAATGCAAATAAATACATGCAAATAAATAATGCAAATAAATACATGCAAATAAAATACATGCAAATAAAATACATGCAAATAAATACAAGCTAATAAAATACATGCAAATAAAAATACATGCAAATAAAATACATGCAATAAAATACATGCAAATAAAATATATGCAAATAAATAATGCAAATAAATACATGCAAATAAAATACATGCAAATAAAATATATGCAAATAAAATAATGCAAATAAATACATGCAAATAAAATACATGGTAATAAAATACATGCAAATAAAATACATGCAAATGCAAATAAATAATGCAATAAATATGCAAAAAAATATATGCAAATAAATAATGCAAATAATACATGCAAATAAATAATGCAAATAAATATATGCAAATAATAATGCAAAATAAATACATGCAAATAAAATACAATAAAATACATGCAAATAAATACATGCAAATACATGCAAATAAATAATGCAAATAAAATACATGCAAATAAAATACAAATAAAAATGCAATAAGCAAATAAATACATGCAAATAAATAATGCAAATAAAATACATGCAAATAAATATGCAAATAAATAATGCAAATGCAAATAAAATACATGCAAATAAAATACATGCAAATAAAATACATGCTAATAAAATACATGCAAATAAAATATATGCAAATAAATAATGCAAATAAATAATGCAAATAAATACATGCAAATGCAAATAATAAAATGCAAATAAACATGCAATGCAAACAAGCAAATGCAAATAAAATACATGCAAATAAATACATGCAAATAAATACATGCCATGCAATAAATATATGCAAATACAAATGCAAATAAAATACATGCAAATAAATACATGCAAATAAAATACATGCAATAAATACAAAATACATGCACATGCAAATAAATACATGCAAATATATATATATATATATATATATATATATATATATATATATATATATATATATATATATATATTTAAACACACACATACACATATATATACATATGTGTATGTATGACCATTGACAGCCAACATGAGTTAACGTGGAAATAAATTCTATAGAAACAAATAAAGGTCATAACACAAAAGTTTATTATGCTGAAAAATAACATCACATTAAGAATATAATATACAACATAAATCAGAAAAAGAGATCCTTCAAAATTTAGGAGAATTCTTCCTTTATAATCTCAAGAGGAAGTTTGAACATTACATTGATTGATGCTGTCTCATTTTTCTCTAAAGATGTCTTCTCTGTGTCAACGCACGCCTACAGACCTTGTAGATGTAAGGACAGTGTCCTTTATGTACATATAACTTATTTTTCAAGTATCTAAATTTAATACTCACATGTACTCATGTAAGATTCACTCTAATGTACTCATTAAAGAAACTCCACAGCTTCATTGATTCTCCTTTGTATGTACTCTCATGAGTAGCACTATTTTTTTTTTTTTGTTTCTAGACTATTCTTTTGCAAGTTTCACAACTTTATGGTTTCTTCTCTTCAAGTACTCTAATATGGCTCAATAGATTGATTATTGCAAATCTTAGTTCTTTGGATTGTCTTCTTATGTATTCTCAAGTGCCTCATAAGATTCTCTTTTCATGAAAAGACCTTATAGCAAATGGCACTTCAGTATTGTTTATATTTTGTATGTACTCTCATATGGCTGACTAGGTGATCTTTCCGTGAGAAGGCCTTATAACACATATCACATATGTATGGTTTCTCCTTTGTATGTACTCTCATACGTCTTACTAATTTAGTTTTCTGTGAGAAGGCCTTGTTGCAAATCTCACAACTGAATGGCTTCTGCTTTGTAGGGACTCTCTTATGGCTCACCAGACAACTTTTATATGCCATGTCCTTGTTATAAATCTCACAGTTATATAACTTCTCCTTTGTATGTACTCTAATATGGCTAATTAAATTAGTTTTCTGTGAGAAAGCCTTATTGCAAATATCACAGATGTACGGCTTCTCCTTCGTATGGATTCTTCTATGCGTCACAAGATTAGATTGAAATGAGAAGGCCTTATTGCAAATATCACAAGAGTATGGCTTCTCCTTTGTATGTACTCTGATATGCTTTACTAGATCCCCTTTGGATGGGAAGGCCTTTTGGCATATCTCACAGCTGTATGGCTTCTCCTTTGTATGCACATGTGTGTGTCTTATGAGATGACTTTTCTCACAATAATCTTTATTGCAAATCTCACAGCTGTACATCTCCTTGGTATGCCATCGCATGTGCCTTACGAGAGA